TTATTAAAAAGCCAAAAAGCTATAGATTTGTTAATAAAAAATTTAACACAGAATACTAATCCCTATTTACTATTTGTAAATTTACAATTATTATTAATTGACCTTAGCAAACTTGCTAAAATGTTTTTTTGAAAAAAAATTCCAAAAAATTCACGCATTATCCAATTTACTTAATTCATTCGCTACTATTTTTTAATATCTCCCTTAACAATAATTTATAATTTTTTTTTTTGGTTTTAAATCGTATTATCAAAAAAACTAGGCAATTAATTCGGGTATTTTTTTTTTGGAGTATGCTTCACTATGTTATCTATATGTTTGAAATCGCTGTCATATTAAAACAACTAATAGAACCATAGCTTTCTTCAAGCTTCTTTTAAAGTGTTTTGTTTAAATTTCAAACGTAAAATAGACGATTTATTATTTCCTAAAAGGAAAGAAGGATTGATTAGCCTTCCAATTAAAATACTTCACAGATAAAATTTTTTTTCCTTTTGGAGTTTAGCATACCGGCTATTTCGCTTTTATATTAGTACTCTACGGTATTCCCAAGTGACTAGAAAACCAGTTTATTAGTAAATATAGCCTAGTTCCTATTTTTGATAAAAATTTTTGCCTATTTTAATATACTTTGAACATACCCTTCCATAAACCTTAGTGCTGCCCTGCATGGCCTTTTTTTTATAGCTAAGATGGCTTAAATAGTTACGTGAACCTACTATGTGGACCTGAATCACTTTTTTAAAAAAAATTAGCAGCCAGCATTCTTGAAAACATTTAAAGGCTTTTTTTACTTATTAGACCAGAATCTTGGGATTTCAGAGTGTATTTTTTAAGAGTGCCTCAATGCTTCTGATCCACTATACCTGCATTTGTTTTTTAGTTTAAGAAAGTTAGTGTATCGTAGACTTCAGAAGGCAAGTTAGTTGCTGTATTTCCTTTTGATTTAGATTTTTTTTATTTCATAATCATCGAATAGCTTTTTCTTATATATCTTAATAGACATACACTTTTATTGATTAATAAGAAAAATGTGGGTAGCGAAATCCAAACTGTGACAAAAAAAAAAGATCATTTAGACAATTAATAAATATCACTTTGATTAGGGGATTCTAGCTAAAAAAGAAAAAGATATGTAAATCGAAATTAGTTACGTGATATCCATCCAAAGACTTTTTTCACATACTGTATATGCTCAAGAAAAAAACACATGTGTCCTGTATTTTCAAAATTCGTCGAGAAATTATTTTATCTAATCAATAAAATAAGGTGAACTTAGTTGAGTATAATTTAATTAACTAGATGTATTAGTTTGATATTCTTTACTTTTTACTTGTTCTTCATTATTAAAATCTATTGCTTGGATTTGTAGTACATTCATTCTATAATTGATGTTATTAAATATACTACTAAATTCATTACTTGTTTTTGTTTGTAAGAAATTAAATTCAAAATTTAAATAAGAATCTATAACTGAAAAGTCATAATCATGTAAACTATTTTTTTGTATTAAAATAAATCGATAAGAAATAAGACACTTTAAAAAGATATAAAAAGATATACGCAGTACTATTAATCAAAAAATGCCTCGTAACAATACATTAAATTATTTTTTGTATTTAATAAAAAATTAATTGAAATGCAAAATTCAAGTTATTGTCTTTATTTAATTTTATTTAATTTTACGTTTGGGAAGAAATGTGTTAGCAGATGCACTTGACATGAACACCAGGCCTACCGAAAAATTAATTGCAATCAATTTTATGATAATTTTAATTGATTGCAATTATATATACATGTGACAAAATTAATTAAAACCCAATTAATGATGAAATAATTGCAATTAATTGCAATTAAATTCAATTTTCTGTATATAGAATAAAAAAAAAAATTTAAATCTGGTAAAATTAAACTTGAATTTGTAAGTATCTTGGTGTAATACAATTTTAAGTAGTAAATATGTATTTTATATCACATAATTGTATAAATAATACTTTTGAATTATTTGTCACGTATGGTTGTGCTAAATCAGAAATAAATAAATATCAATATAATTTATATGATATAAATTTAATTACTATATTATCTCGAAATAATGCCCAGAGTGTGGTTTAAAATTTTGGCTTAATTCAACCTTAATTCAGGCCAGTATCTTAAACCACACCCTGGGGCATTATTTTAATCAGTAATCATTAATTTAATTGATTACATTACTAAAGTTGGTGCAGAAAATAAATATAATTCTTCTTTTGATTGCAAATATGATATAACATACTAATTACGTAATATTTACAAAAAATTGCAATTAATTGGATAATTCCCTCACAATTAATTATTCGGTAGACCTGATTAGTATTTTGCAAAAAAGAACTGGTTGAAAATAGCATTTTTAGTTGGCATAAAAGTAGTATTCCAAAAAAGATACCCAAACTGAAAACCGTATATATAATAGTGTAGAAAAACCTACACCAGAAATGGGCTTCAATTTGTATTTTCCATGTACCTGTCACCAGTAGCAAGCCTTCAAAGTTCTTCAAAGTTTTCAGTTCTAGTTCAGTTCCGGGTCTGGATCTGGTGACTTTGAAGACTTGCTACTGATAACAGATATACGGAATACAAAGTGAAGTCTTTTTCTAGTGTAGAGTTTTCCATATTATTAAAAATACAATTTTTAGTTCAGGCACCTTTAGTGAAACACTACTTTTATGGCTACTAAAAATGCTGGTTTTTTTTAGCAAAACACTAGGCCTGATGAACACTACTACGCTATTAACCTTGCAAAAGTTTCAAATTATAAAAGAGAAGCAAGACATCAAGAAGTGTGGAAAATAATTCAAAGTCTACTTAATTGTAAAGAACCTATTATCAAATCTCAAGCTGAATATTTAGCTGCTGAATATTATCTCCATGGATGGTATATAGAAAAAAATGAAAAAAAGCTTTTGAGTTTGCAGAAAACTTGCCAATAAAGAAGAATACAACAAAGCATTAAATATTTTTAACCAGATTTCTATAAGAGAAAGTTCTGAGCTAAGAAATAATAACCATAAAGAAAATATTTCTATATTAGTCATACTTCTTTACAATTACATTTATTTGTGCTGGAGAAATTAAAATAGTTCAGTCTCCCATTTTTGGAAATCTATTTGAATCAAAAAATATTAAAACAAGAGTAAGAATTCAGAATTAATTTAATTTAATTTTTTTTTTTTTGAAAATTAACAAATTATAAAATTGCATTCCATTGGATTGGATTTTCAGAAATAATTGTTCTGTATTTCATTTCATTTATTTAATTGAGAATTGTATTTTTGAATTATCAATATATTTAAAAGTTATATTTAAATAATTATTTCAAATTATTTTTAGTTCAGTGTTTTAAACTGCTATAAATTTTAATTAATTTGAATAATAAGGTTACATCAATATAAAATTTTCAAATGTTTTCTTCTAATGTTAAAATTTTCTTGCCCTTTTCTTTATCTACTGGAACATTCAAATTACCGAAATAAAAAAGTTTACTAAATTATATTGAGCCTTATGGTTACCATCAGGTCTACCGAATAATTGATTGTAAGTACAATTAATTGCAATTATTTGAACTCAATTAATTGGTAGCACAGCAATGGAAAGTAGTTATTTCAAAACATTAGTGGAATAATGTAGTGAAAAATCATTTACTTTTAATGCTTGAAAATAAAATATCAAAATTTTGACGTGATACCCAAAGTATCTAATGATTTCTTGCGTCTTTTGTATTAATTTTCGAAAGTACTCTTATATCTTGACTATTTTCATCTTCAGAATTCAAAGTATTCAGTTGTTTCTTATATTTTCTTTATTTCTTTTAATTTCGATCTTATTTTATGCTTTAATCTTTTTAAATTTCCAGTTTCCATTTTCCTGTCAAATTTTTTTATATTAACATTTATAATTTTGAGTTAATGGAGTTAATAATTATTTATATAATTGCTTGCCAAAGCATTTTGGGCTGATGGCACCCCAAAATTTTGTATTTTTGGTGGCTTGACTATTTTATTTTAATCTGCTACAGTAAATAAGTTTTACTTTTTTTTATTTTTTCCCTATGTTTTAGTTTTCTCTTTCTATTGATTTTTGTATTTCGTGGTATCTTTTACATTCATTTTGTCTTATACTAAAAATAAAACTGCATTTACTATATTTTTGCTTGTGCTTTTTGCAATTAGATTTAAAACATATGTCGCAATAGTGAATTTTTCCTGGGGGTAGTATTAAAAATCATCTAGTTAAAATAATAACCATAACTAATTTATAACAAGTGGAGCTGTAAGGTCAAATCTCTAATTTGGTATAAAATTCTTAAATTCAGACAATATTAGAACTTGCTTTATTAATTATATTTTTTTTGCTCATGTCCTTTTAATTTATTGAACCAAATCAATAATAATAATTATTTTTATCAAAATCTGGCTAAATCAGTTAATAATTAAATAAAACAAATAGGAAAAGAATATTATTTAATTTGAATTATTAGGATTGTATTTAATAATAGATAATTTAATAATAGATAATTTAATTAAAAATTTTTAATTAAATAAATTGAATATGAGCTAGGGTGCGAACTATAAACTATTGATTAATATAAATAAACAGATTAGTTTATTGTAAAGTAGCTTATTTGTATGTATTGTAATTCATAGTTCTAATCTATATCTTGAGCTGTAAAAATGTTTTAATTTGGGAAGGCAATATAAGGGGATTTTTATAATTTTAGGCAAATTATAAATAAGCCCAGACAAAATTAAAGATAAATTTGATTACTAACTCTGGGCAATATCATTTATAAAATACTTTACCATTTTTCTTAAAACCTTCGATCAATAAATTTGGAAATTAATATATCTGTAAACTAATAGTTACTATAAATTGTAGTTTCTAAAAAACTATTAGTTTGTATTATTTTAGGACTTATATGAAAATTACTTTAGTCCGAATTTATTTAAAAAATTATCTATTTTCTATACTTTTTGGCTAAACACTGTGGAATAAAATTCTTTTTTTTCTTCATCTATATTGTTTATTGTTCGTATAAAATCAGGGTCACGATGAGACATTTCACTTCGAAAAAATTTTTGTAATATTATATTTTCTCTAGACTTTTTGTTATTTTGTTCTATCATAGGATTGTTAGTTATCCATACTGGATTAGTACAAAAACACTCTACTGGAAATGCACCAGAACATTCCCAGTCTATGACTCCTGTTATTTCATCATTCTTGACAAGAATGTTTGACGTGTGAAAGTCTACATGCGTTAATACAAATGTGTTATTTCCATCATCCTGAAAATATTTTGGTACCAATTAATATAGTTCTTCATATTTTGGAATCAAACACTTTTGCTTTTTTGTAGATTTAAACATGCTATAGTAATGCATCTGATTTCGAATAACTGCTAAGATATATTTCTTTGTTGTTTTGAAAGAACCCATTCTATAGTAAGTAAAGTTGCCCGCTCACCAGTAAAGAAGATACTTTCAATCACTTGACCAAGTTTAAATTAATCATTTTTACCATCGAAAAAAATACTACCAATTTTTGAAAACGTAAGTTTTTTAAGTTCCAATTGAATATCTATAATTTTTAAAAGAAATAACTTCTTTTTTTTTATGTTGAGATTACTCCATATATCACAAAGATGAATACCAGATAAATACTCCATTAAATATATTCTGTTTCTACTGGATTATTGACAGAACTATTCCAATAATAAACTTTGGGAACAGGAATCTGCGTATTTAAACGAATATACTCTATAACTGCCACCTCACATTCTGTCTTCCATTGTGGATATACAGGGAATGCTACTCTTCCAATATATTCATTACTATCTTCCATCTTTAAGATGTATACTTTATGAAAATCACCTTCACTAAATTCTTGTATAGAGGTATATTGTATATGAAATATGTTTGATGCAGACTTTTGTAAAGCACCCAAATTAATATTTAGTTTGGTAGAATCTTCTGAATCGCTTTCTGTACTTTCTTGACTTTGATGATTAGGAGAATTATTAGATATCTTACAAAGTATAAAATAATATACAATTTGTGAATCTTATATTTAATTATTTTTAATTCATACACGCCATAATTGTATTGTTATATATATTAAATTTAATTAACTTTAATTATATATTAAATTCAATTAACTTTAATTATGTATTGAATATCAAACAATTCGCAGGAATGTAATTTGAGTAAAGATGTTAATTATACAGTTAATTGTTTCAATATAAACTACAATTAACTACAGTTTTAAAGTGAACTATAGTTATAGTTCACTTCTCTAAATTTGAGAAAGCTTAAAATGATGCAATCATAACTTTAAATAATTTTTGAAAATGGTGAACACATATATATATAGCATAAAATTTTTGCTTACTGTCGACAAAATCGCATGAGAAAACTGGATTGTCCTGAGATGTATTTAGAATCAAAAAAAAAATCAAAGAAATAATTTATGAAATTAGCAATAAATAGCAGGTAATAATTTTACCTTACCCTGCATTCATTTATATATCATATTATTTTGTGATTCGACTAGACGTTACAGTCAAACTAGCTTTAGCATTGATTCTAAAAATTGCTTACTACACATAAGTCATGTGATTAGTTAAGTATCAATATTAAAAAGCCTCATATATTTAAATCTACTAATGATATATCGATTATAACTTTTAAACACATTAAATAATCATGTAGCTAAAGTTTGTGTAATAACAGAAAAATTATTAATACAATGTGAAATTGACAATTATCTTAGTTTAATTAATTATAAATATACAAGTATCAAATACTGTAATTGAATTTCTTAAATCACATAATCATATTTACCAAAATTACAATCTGAACCTGAATCTATTATATGAGTACTGCAGAGTGAAAACCTGGAACTGAATATTTAAGTTTTCACTTCGCAGCGCTCATATTATGAGTTATTATGAGCCAAAATATGACATTTCATTAAAAGGTTAGCCTATCTTAAACCCAGTTCGTTTTCCGACGACATCCTAATATCGTCGGAAAATGAAATGAATAACAAACTCATAAAAGTTAAGCTCAGTTCAGTATTTAAATAAACACATATATGACACGAAATATTTGATTAGATCTCATTGGTCAACCTTAATCACATGATTATTGAAGACTATCCTGTATTGTGATTGGCTTGTTTAATAGTATTTAATCTACAAAAATTGACCAATTATATGAATGTCCTTAATCCTTCTGATAATTAAACAAGCCAAGC